GCCCCTGCTCCCCTTCCCCACAGCCCTGACCCCCAACTTCCCTCCCCCTCCCCCTTCCCCGCAGCCCTGACCCCCAACTTCTGCACCCTCCCCCCACTTACCTACAGCCCTGACCCACAACTTCCCTCCCCCTCCCCCTTTCCTAGAGCCCTGACCCACAACTTTCCTCCCCCCTTGCCCTACAGCCCTGACCCCCTCCTTCCCCACAGCCCTGACCCCCAACTTCCCTTCCCCTCCCCCTTCCCTACGGCCCTGACCCCCAACTTCTGTACCCCCAACCCTGCCCTCTCCCCCACTTCCCTACAACCTTGCCCCAGAACTTCCCTACAACCATGATCCCCAACTTCCAGACCCGTCCGTGTCCCTGACCCCAACTTCCCCTCAACCCTCCATTGCCCCACCCCATGCTCATCTCTCCCCAGCCCCCCATTGCCCCACACCTATGCCCATCTCCCTCACCCCACCCATCCCTACAACCCAGCAGTCCCCAGCCCCAAGTTCCTGTCACCTCCACTCCACTGCCCAACTTTCACAGCCACCCCACAGCCCAGCCCCCCCTCCCCCATCCGGGCAGCCTTCCCTCCTGGGTATCCTCCCCCCGAAACCAATGGGGTGACTCTCATGAGCAGGCCCCCAAACCACTGACAAAGTGTCACTCCTGATTTACACCAATATGAGTGAGGGGTGAATTTGCACCCACTGGAGTGACTCCTGATTTACACCAGGAGTGAGCGAGGGGTGAAACAGCCCCCATGATTCCAGTGGAGTGACTCCTGATTCACACCAGGAGCGCAGGAGCGTAGACACAGATCACATACAAACATTGCAGCTGATTTCAGCACCTACTCTTGTAAGTTTCACTGGACAGTAGATTTTTTTTTTTAAACCAAGATAGATTTTACCACACTAGGGGTTTAAAATCAAGCAAGCAAACTGGCTACTGTGGCAACGCTTTTTGTTGGTCCAAATCCCCCACCCTGGTCCTCTGATCCCCAACCTATCCCCATGGCCCCACGCCCCAATGGAGGGAAAATTCCCTGCCTGGGGTATGTTATGGCTGTGAGCACCAGCTGTGGGCATTAGGGGAGGTGCCAAGGGCCTCTCACGCATGACAGAAGGAAGATGCATCGAATATGCAAGAGGGTGGTTCAGGGAAGGGGGTGGGGAGGCCATTGTCAAGCTAATGGGTCAGGAAGTCTCCATGGGGAGGCTGGAATTAGCCTTGGAATGCTTGGGGCAAACCCTTGGCTGGTGTAAATCTGGCCTCAGTGGAGCTATGGCTGATTGACACCAGCCGGGATCTGGTCCCATTGACTTCAATGGAGAGATGCCAATGAACCCGGCCGGGATCTGGTCCCATTGA